CCCCCCCCCCCTCCCATCTCAGAACAGGCAAACTGACCGTCGGTGGTCTCTAGGTGGGGAGCTCGGAAACATCTTCACGGCTTTCAACGCGGGCTTGTGTGCCGGGGCCTTTGTCTGGGGTATCCTCGTGGATATCATCGGCCGGAAGTGGGCCTTCAACGGCACCGTGCTCATCTCGTGTATCTTTGGATTGTGTCTAGGCGCTCCGAGTAGCTATAGCGCTATCCTGGTCCTGACGGCCTTCAACGGCTTCGGGATCGGGGGCAACATCCCCATCGACACGACCATCTGCTTGGAGTTCCTCCCTCAGGTATGTCCGTCCGCCGTGGCTCGCCGGTGACCTGACGCACACGCGATCTGATACTCACCGATCGTGCAGAACCGACGCTTTCTCCTGGCCATGCTGTCCGTCTTTCAGCCCCTCGGCGTGGTCGTGTGCAGCGGCATTGCGTATGCCTTCGTCCCGAGGTATGCATGCGAAGTCGGGATCCCGTCCTGCAAGTCAGCCACCCGGTCACCAGACGAAGCCTGTTGCAGCAGGGCTGATAACATGGGATGGCGCTACCTGATGTTCACCCTGGGGGGGATCTCGCTTTTCATCTTCCTCCTGCGCTACGTCATCTTCACATTCCAAGAGTCCCCCAAGTACCTGATCGGCCGCGGCCGAGACGAAGAAGCCATCAAGGTGCTGCATAGCATTGCCAAGGTCAACAAGCACAAGTGCCGCGTGCGCATGGAAGACTTTCGTGCTTTGGAAATGGGCCACATCGAGTCGCCCGTGGCCGCCAAATTCGACGCCGGGCAGATGACCAACACGACGTTCCTGCACCAGCTCAAGAATGAAGTCCCGCGACTGAAGATGCTCTTCGCGACGCCGGCGCTGGTACGACTCACGATCCTGGTGTGGATCATCTACGCCTTCGACTACTGGGCCTTCTCGATCGCGGGATCTTTCCTGCCGACCATCCTGCTGCGCAAGAACACCGCCATCGAGGTGTCGGTGGCCGATACGTACCGCGACTACGTGATCATCTACCTGCCCGGCATCGTCGGGGTGGCCCTGGGATCGCTGATGGTCTATGTCCCGCGGATTGGCAGAAAGTGGGCCATGGTCATCGCGTCGGCGCTGATGGCCGTCTCGCTCTTTCTCTTTACCACGGTCAACACGCAGGCGGCGAACATTGGATTCAACCTCATGGAATATTTCTTCCAGTCGATGTTCAACGCAGTCCTGTATGGCTGGACGCCCGAGGCGTTCCCGGCCCCGGTGCGGGGCACCGCGTCGGGGATCGCCAGCTTCTTCGGTCGTCTGTTCAGCATTGTCAGCCCGCTGATCGCGGCGCACCTGCTGAAGACGAGTTTGAACGGGCCTCTGTATCTGGCCGGGAGCGGTGCATTGGTGTGTGTGGTGGCTGTCATTTGCTTGCCTAATTCAACGATGGGAGGGCAGTCTACGTAGGATCCCGGAAGGCCAAACGACGAGGGCGTTTAAAACGTCAAGGAAGTTTGATATCTTCACGGCCTGGTTCTGTTTGTATGTAAAGAGAGTTAATCGTATTGATTATAATTTAAGGCCTTGAATTTCCATCGCAAAATAGATTCCAATTGAAATTCACGCTTATGCTTTTGATGTGATTGATGTAAGTTAAAGATTTAATGCGAGGACATATACTGTTTTTATTCACGAGATATACATGGCGAGCAAAGGAGAGAGGAGCATGAAACAGATTTGATTCCCGCTACTTAATAGTGGGCCTTGACGTCGCAACTTTTGGGGCCCTTCCTTAATGATAGAATCAGGAGTGCAGAAGGTGTAGTAGATTAAGAACTAAGAGCTATATGCAAAGGAGTAGCCAAGAGGCCAGCCAAGAGGCTAGTCCATATCGAGGAATACAGATACAACCTAATATTCTAACATCCTTCTTGCTCTTTGACTTTAAATAGAATTAATAATTGCAACTAAATTTGAATTGCAACTTGCAAACTGATTTTCTTTTTCGAAGTGTTGTGCGGTCCGGAACAGGCATGCATAAGGTTCCACCTAAGCTACCACGGTACAGGCCTAAGTATTACCCCTCGAGGGTGCCTCAAAAGTCTAGTTTCCACTTTAAAACCCCTGTTTTCCGTACCCTCGAGGGGTAATACTTACGCCTGCGACGTAGTATATCTTATGTGACCTCGCCTAATAGCGCCCTTAGCGCATTAAAGCTTTTAAGTATATGTTTATAGATCTTGACGAGCTTCTTCAATAAAATATACCAAGCTTTATTCAATTTGCAGAATCTACTTCTAATTTTAGTGCTAATCAGCACTATAATTAAGAGCTATATCGCATTTACGAGCTATTCAATTAGTCTTTAATAACCTTTGAATTTATCGAGAGCGGATTCTATATATTACTTTAACGCTACTTCGTTATAATTTTTCCTTTTTTGCAATGTAAACACTTTGCTTGATGGGGTACCTGCTATGGCTATTAGGGCTATATTAGACGGACCCATCTTTTATAAGAGGGCACACATCTTTTAGCTAGAACAATCAACGAGCTTTCCATTTACCTTTTTTAATACTTCTTTTATAAGATTATAAAGTCTAGTCTTAAAGCTAAGCTTTTGTATAGTATATCTTTTTAAGTGCTTTTATATTAGTGACTTACGTAAGGATTTAAACTTTTAGTCTTTGTTTTTATATAGCTTATTATAATCGCTTGATTCGCAATCAAGTTGATCTTCGTTTATTTAGCACTTCACTTTACAATTACAATTTTAAAATAATCAAAACTTTATTTTCGATAAGTTCGGATACCGAAACGCCGAAATAACCGAAGTGTAATATTTCGGCTTTTCGGTAAAAACTCTTTTCTATTGTTAATAAGAAAGAATTTTCATTTATTAATGAAAATACTTTTTTATACTTTAGCTTTTATCTTAAATTAAAGCAATTGATATAGTCCGGAGTTATTAGCGAAGCTAATTAATTGATTTTTAAGTTTTTTATAGTTTTGATCTTGATTATTAGTTTACTTTTGCATAAGGTCTACTTTTTTTAATCTCGGATCGAGAATACTTTACGAAAATCGCTTATTTTACTTGTGAACTCGGTTTACGAGTTAAAATCAAATAATTTAAAAACCTTTTATCAACTCGATCTTTTTTAATATATATATATGTCTGATCTTTAAAATACCGAAAACTTTCTTAAGATTTTTAATATCGAAGTCGACGCAGAATTACTTTTCTTTTCGTTAGAATCTTTTGAATTTATTAAATCTTTTAATCGTATTTTTATAAGCTTCGAATTATTTTTATCTTACTTCGACTTTTAACTTAAACTTTTACCGCTATCTTTATCGAAAACACTTGCTTCGGAAATGCTTTTTAAAATGAACACCGGTCTTAAGATTTATATTATTCTTCTTCTTTTTGCTTTTTTTGTCTTTTTATTAAGCTTTGCGTTAATTTCAATCGACTTTGTTATCTTTTACGCTTTTATAATTACTCGTATGCTATTGCTAAGTGCTTTAAAAGCTTTTTGCTTTAATAATGTTAATATCATCGACTTTATCGAGAAGTACGAAAAGACTTGTAATAACTTTAATATCTTTGAAAATAATCGGTTTATTAAGCTCTTTCGTTATTACGATAACTTTCGCAAAAAGGTTATTAAGAGCTTGCTCGAATAAAAAGCTAAAAAAGATTAAGCTGCTTTTGTTAAAGCTTTAAGAGCCGAGTTTCGTAAAAACGATATTTAATAAATTAAAGATTTAATCGCTTTTTTGCGAGAATTTGCTATATAAAAACGAGATGTTAATAACTTAAAAAACTATTGTCGCACTTTCTTTCGAGTCTTCGAAAAGCTTATTTTAATGCACTTTTTAAGCAAGACCGAATAAAGCCGTTTGTTTTTCTTCGGATTGCTTATCGGAATTTAAAACAAGACGATTAAGTATTATAAAATCGACGAACTCGATTTAAACTTTTATACCGCTTTCGACGACTTCGTCGCATTCGCTTTTAAGACCGATTAAAGTGCTAAGATTATTAAAGCTATAAATCGAGAAAATTCTTTTTTAGCTAACTTTATTAAAGATATTCGGACTTTGGTTAAAGAACATATCGAATTAGCTAACGTTTTTAAATCTGTTAAAAAAGCTGTTGTGCGGAACAGGCATGGTTCCACCCAAGCTATATATGACATGTTATGTGACCTCGCTTAATAGCGCCTTTAGCATATTAAAGCTTTTAAGTATATATATATAGATCTTAACGAGCTTTTTAAATAGAATATATTAAGCTTCATTTAATTTACAGAATCTTTTCTTAATCTTAATGCTAGTAAGCATTATAGTTAAGAGCTATATTCGCATTTACGAGCTATTTAGTTAGTTTTTAATAACTTTCGAATTAATCGAAAGCGGATTTTGCAAGTCACTTTAACGCTACTTTATTATAACTTTTATTTTGCAATCTATCTTTTTTTAATTATATTCATTCTTTATAACTAACACTTACTACCTTTAAGAACTTTAATTAATTTTTAAAAGCTTTAATTATAAAGTCAATTGTTATAATAATAAACGATAAAGTAAAAGAAGTCTTTTTAATTAATAAAACGAACTTTATAAGTCGTAGCGACTTCTTAAGATAGATTACGAATTATAAATACTTTATCAAGCGCTTTAGCATAAAATAATACGCATTTCTTTATATTAGCGTAAAAGAACTTGCTTTTTTTATCGAGCAAATTAAATTAAAAACGAAGTCTGTTATAAAGATAATAACGGAGCTTAATAACGAATGGTTTTAAAAGTAAAACCGCTAACGAAAGGCTTAAAAAGAACTGCACTTAAAAGCTCTTGCAAACGATCTTAATAGACTTTTAAAGCTAAAAGACGTTAAGTTCGAAGACGTCCGAAAAGCGTATAACGATAATATAAAAGAATACAACTTCGTTATAAACAATTAAAAAGTCTTAAGTAATAAAAGTAATTAAATTATAAACTAGATTAAAAAGACGGTTAAAAGCTTTATTCTCGAAAAAGCGATCTTAGCAGCTTTAAAAAAAGATAACACTTTTATTTAATTCTTAATAAAAAAGCTTTAAAAAATATGCCGTTTATTCGACTCGAGCTTTAAGCTATCAATAATACGAGATTATAATAAATCTTTATAAGCAGCTAAGCAAAAGAGCGTCTTTTTAACGGTATAGATTAAAGAATACCGAGCTATCTATAAGTTAGCGAAAATAAATAATTTTTACGAGACGACGAGTATATTCGCGATAAAAGCATTCTTAAAAGCTATTAACGAAAAATAGTTATTAACTTAAGCGTCGCTAAAGCTCGTAAAAGTCATTCGAAACGACGAGCTATTATTGCTTTAAAAGCGCACTTTTTACGACTACTTTAATTAATACGAAAGCTAAGTCGAAGAGAAGATTAGCAATCCGAACTTTAACTTCTTTAACGTATTCGTTACTTTCAAAGATTAAACTACTCGCAATACTTTCGAAAGTAATAAAGCTAACGATATTGCTTTTAAGCAATCCGGTAAACGCTCCGATAGCTTTAAAAGATTTGCTAAAAGTTTTAAATGCTCGTGCTTTAAAAAGAAAAACTATTATTAAGACGCAATCAAATGCAAAATTTTTCGCTATTGCTTTAACGGTCTTAACGAAAGTAGATTCGCAAAGTCGAACCGAGATAATATCGTCGTTATAAAAAAAAAGCTATAAAAGCTTAAGTTTAAAGCGCTTCGAGAAGAAATTACGAAAGAAAGTTAAGTATAAATTCAAATCGATAAGATCGTTTTAAAAAGCAAAAAAAAGCAATCGAATAATAGCGATAAGTTAAAATATTTTAAAAAAGTATTAATAGCTATTATCGATCTCGAGCTTTTTAATACGCTCGATAATCTTGCTTTTAACGGTCTTTATAATACGGTTAATAATAAGCATCAGCTATCTAATAGCACTCTTTTCGATAATTACGACGCTACTTATTTTATTAACGATAAAAATCTTTTAAAGCTAAAGTCAATTCAACGCTTTCGCTTAATCGACTTTATCGAAGCTAAAACGAGTAATCTTTTAATCGTCGAGCGAAGTACTAAAGTCTTTAAAAAAGCTTTAAACGAATTAAATAAAGCTAAAACAAAAGATTTAAAGTTAGAAAACGTCGTTATTATTAAAAGGTTTAATATTAATATTATCTTAAAAGCTTTTTTAAGCAAAGCTAGCGTATAATACTCGAGATATAACGCAACTCTCCGTTACGAAAAAGTTAAAAAAAGCGTCGTATTAAAAAAGTTAAAAAAAAAGTTCAACTTTACGTTTTTTAAATATAAGCTATTTAATTATTCTTTATTTTAATTGATTCGTAGCTCTTTTTACTTAATAATGTTCTTTATAATTTAAAAGCGCTTGCAAATACGTTATAAATTTTAAAAAAGCAATGTCTTT